TCGGCTTGGATCCCAATGATACAAAACAACTCGTCGTGTGGCAGGGAGGAGAAGTATCCTGGAGAAGTGGAAGTTGGCAAGAAAGCAGCTCCGACTTTCAGTATTTCTCTGGATTTGATTATGGCTTGACCTTTAGTTTCATTGAAAATGAGAATCAAACTTACTTCATTTACACGGCAGATTACAACTCAAATCCTTTCCCAGAAATAAGAATACACTATTATGGTGAGCTCTTCATGTCCAAAGCTTATTACTGGGACTGGCTCTGGTTAAATTCGTGTTCTCAACCTAACATCTCTGGTGCCAAAAGTAAATGCATAAAGCAGAAGCTTCCGAAATGTAGGAGTAGTATGGAGGATACATTCATCACAGGGGAGTATGGTTTAATGTCCAGAGATGGATTTAGATTCAGTGACAGCAAAAACCTTACCATTGAGGGTTGTAAGGTCAAATGCTTGTTAAACTGCAATTGTCTTGCTTTTGCCACAACCATTTATCTAGATGACAATATCACCGGCTGTGAAATTTGGACATCAAGTGCAAAAATAAAACCAGCAGTCAATGGCAACGCTCGCACGATTTACATCCTTCCTTCCAGAGGTGAGTTGATTTCGTTCTAAAAGGTCCAAGCCTAGCACATTACTTAAAAGAGTAGGGATCCATTTACACACAAATTTTACATGTCACACGTACAAAAAATCTTGGCATGTTACTGCTTAATTAGATGTTATTGTGGTAAAGAATTTAAAGCTGTCAGTCAATTGATTGCAGAGAACAAATGGTGGCTATGGCTTACCACTGCAGTTGGACTAATGATGACCATACCCACTTTATGCTCTGTCTGCTATATCATTTGGAAAAAATGCAAATCAAATGGTCAGTATCTTAGTCCGCAACATGTGTTTTTGTGGTTTTCATAATCAATTTGTTTAATTTATTTCAGCAATCATATCCAAACTTTTGATTCCTTGATGTGTGATTAGGTGATGAAAAATATAGCAAGAGGATGCTAATAAAAGAACTGGATGGTGGTGAAACTCCTTGCATCTCATTTGGAAAACCAAAAGGCCATAAAGCAGATAGAAATGGGCTGCATGTTTTCAGCTTTGAAAGCATTGCCTATGCTACAAACTATTTCTCACCTGCAAATAAGCTTGGTGAGGGCGGCTTTGGACCAGTTTATAAGGTAATCAATATACGTCATGAGCTAGAACTATGAACTTCCATTAGAGATTATACTAAAGTGAGATTATAATTTCAGGGAATATTACATGATGGGCAAGAAGTAGCAATAAAGAGACTCTCCGCCAATTCACGACAAGGAGTAGCAGAGTTCAAGAATGAGGCTCTACTAATTGCAAAGCTGCAGCATACTAATCTTGTGAAGCTTCTAGGCTTTTGCATCCAAGGAGAAGAAAATATATTAATCTATGAGTATATGCCAAACAAAAGCTTGGATTCGTTTCTGTTTGGTGAGATATTTGTTTCCTTCAATCCTATGATTCGCCTCACTTACTAGCTGGTGGAATTCTTGCTTATTAAGCTTAATTTTTATAATCAGATTCTGATAAGAAGAAAATATTGAATTGGAAGAGACGCTTCATCATTATTGAAGGGATTGCTCAAGGGCTACTTTATCTACATAAATATTCCAGATTAAGAGTCATTCATAGAGACTTAAAGGCTAGCAACATTTTACTTGATCATGAAATGAATCCGAAAATATCAGATTTTGGGATGGCTAGAATATTTGGACTAAATGAATCTGAAGCAAATACAAACAGAGTTGTTGGAACATAGTAAGTGGCTTTGTATTTGGTTACATCTATATGTCTTCCTACATTTGTAAACTTGTTTTCTTTTCGTCGACCTTTCTAAAGTCAAAAATTTATATGTTAATTATTTCTACAGTGGTTACATGTCTCCAGAATATGCATTCCATGGCCTTGTTTCAATCAAAACTGATGTATTTAGCTTTGGAGTTCTATTGCTAGAAGTTGTAACTGGGAGGAAGAATGCTACCTGTTATCATCCTGATTATCCTCTTAACCTTACAGGATATGTAAGTTCATTTTCCCTCTTTAGCCTCTTTTTTCATTTTGTTAGTACGGTTAGGAAAGATTAAAATTTTGAGTGAACATAATGTCAATTCTTAAGGTAAGGTTTTCATTAAATATCCAATTCTATTTCCAACAGGTGTGGCAGCTATGGAATGAAGGTAGACAGTTAGAGTTAATAGATCCTAGTATGGATGAAAGTTGCCCTCATGATGAAATATTAAGACGCATTCATATTGGCCTCTTGTGTGTACAAGACCATGCCATAGATAGACCCACCATACTTGATGTTGTGTCAATGCT